AATGCTGCTAATGCTCCCCTCTGGGGGGCCCCGTACAGGTTTGGGTTTAGGGTTTATAAGGTTTAGGTGTGGGTCTTAAGGTTTAGATTTGGCCTCAAACCACTGACCCGGGCAATGCCACATCACATGTGACCCTGCCCCGGCGTTGGTAGGGTCACAGCCGACAGAGATTGAGGTAGGGCCAAATGCGCCCATTCTGCCACTTGAGATGTCAGCTCATTGCGCGAACCCAAATTCCCAACCGAGTTGCCCTGGTAGAAAAGGCATCCACAAAAACAAAAAGGTTTTTTGTCGGGTGCTACTGACAAACTGAGAACTTGCAGCATTCCGGTTCCACAGCTACAAGTGAAACAACCCTTTTGGACAACATTCAACGTTCCTTTATGACCTACATAGCCCCAATTGGGCTGCACCCACCAGTAGTTGGTCGATTTTTGATAGGGAAACCCTCCAAGCAAAAGCCGCCCAAAAGCGGCACCACTGGAGGCCGGGGTGGTTAAAAGTTTCCTTTTAGCCCCCCAAACAGGCCCCCGGAGCAAAACCAAACCTTCGAGCGCCGATCGGAAGTCTCCTGATCCCCCTCCCCGCCTCAAAGGGCTGATCCCTCTGCTGCAGAGTGGCCGCCAGCTGAACACAGATCTGCAGAGTAAAGGGGTGCGTCTTGCAGAACTCCTTCTCCCGCTCCTGGCGAGCGCCCAAAGAAAAAAACACGCGCTGGGGAAAACAACAACGACAAAGGCACTGCAAAAGGCTCCAGGCGGTGAGACTTTTGTTTACCCAAAGCTGGGCGTCGCCCAAGATCTGATGGGAGCCAATGCATCCTTCCAAATGGATTGCAGCCCCAAAACTGGGCAGAGTCGCGCGGTTTGAAACCAAGACGAGCGCGCGGGGAGGTGAAAACTGACACCCGATCCGAATCCGAGCCGTCTCCTGCAGGGCCTGGCGCTGCACGGTTTCAGCCTCCTCCAGCTTCTCCTGCTCCTAGCATGGGCACGCCCCAAATGTTTTTACTCAGAACGCGGAACCCCCAAACCCGTGAGTCAGCTTCCATTGGATTGGTGGTCTGGAGGTGCGAAGCTTTGGCTTCTCATTCTCCACCACGATCAGGGGTAAACCGCCGAACCACCAAACCGAACCACCAACTAAGGGCTACCTGAAGTGCGCTTCACCTCCTGTGGGTTCCTTCCGTTTATTTGCCGGAGAATAAGGCCTGTTTGGCCTTAACATGAAAGCCCAGAAAAAGACCTTTTCTTTACTCCAACCCCACCCCCAACCTTACCATTCAGCAGCTTTGGTCTGATTTGGCGATGACCTTGGTGTTAAGTTTGGCTTAACTTTGCCAGAAAGCTCATGTTGAGCCCCTAGCTTTTGTGGTAGAGGAGTGGTGCTCTTGTTCGTTAGCCCCTCTGCATGTCAACGGAAGGAGCCCAAAAATGAGTCCGGAGAGAAACATGTACGGCTTTTGGGCTCCATGTTAAAACCTTGTGCCTTCATAGGAGTGTTGTTCAAAGACAAAAGGTCCGGTTCGCTATTGCCCTTCATCCTTCCTTCCAGACGAGGGGTTCTGATAGTATCCACCTTAAGATTGCCCCCCCAAAATGGTGCTTTCTTCTTGGTCTGGTGGGAAAGGTAATGCTTTACACGGCCACTGCTTCAACACCCGCCTTTAGGGAGTCCTCTTTTCAAGGCTCCCCTTTTCAATCGCGATCTTGCGCTTGCTTGGGCAGAGGTTTTGGAGTGGTCTGGTTGATGTCGAGCCCGGATTCAACAAGTTGGATGAAGGGTTTGTTGCCCCCAACAGTGATCCGGAGTCCATCGAGGGGTTGCTCCCAATCAAAAAGTCAACCCCGGGGTTGATGAAACAAAAACCCTGCAATAAGAATTGGATCCCCAGTAAAGGACCTTCATGGGTAGCTCGATCTGGACCGGTGAGCCCGGCGGGAAGAGCATATGAATCAACAGGGGGTTTCGTCCTCCGCGGTTGCCACTACCTAAAACCAGCCGCAGCTCTCCGAATCCCTTGGGACCCCGCTCGAATCCAAGCGCTGGGACTCGGGACTCGGATCTCGGATCCGATCGCTTCGATCGCTCGACTCGAGGCCTGGAGCATCGCCCCCAGCGCCGCGAGGTCCTTCGGCTCCCCCAGTTCTCGGCAGAGCTCCGCCGCCTGAAACGCGCCGGGGGCGTTCGGCGGCGGGCGGTTGCGCGACGGCGGGTCCCGTGCAGCGGGGGGGAAAAGGCCGAGGGAAGCCAACCCTCTGAGGGAAGCCATTGGGTTCAAGATCCCCTGTCTTTCAGAGGTGGTTTGAGACATGTTTGGGGCTGGTTGCTGTCTACCTGAGCCAATCAAGCTGGTTGGTTCATGCCCAAAACCCCGCTTTGGAGTCCCGATCTGAGAACCCAGAAGGCAGATGTGAGAAAGCCTGAAAGGTTTGGTTAACGTGGAAAAGGGTGGGCAATTCCAAACACGACGGGTCCAGAAGCCGTCAAGAGGGCAAGGAAGATCCTCCTCGTGGCTTAGAAAAAGCAACCACCAGGGGTGAAAGGCAACTGTCCCTGGATAGGTTGGATCTGGTGTGGTGCATTCACCGAATTACCATATGGGTCCCAATTTAGGACAAAAATGCAACTGCCTGCAGAGAACCCTGCCCGGCCTGTTATGAAGTGGAATCAGACGCTGTCCACCCAACTGCCGTCCAGTGGCGGGTTTGGTGTGGCGCAAAACAAGGGAACCAAAAAGCAACAGGGATGATAGGAATCCCTTCAACCAACCACTAAAAATCAACCATCACAAGCAAAGATAAGCATGTGGGTATGACTTTTTTGAGGTGCCGCTTTTGAGGGGGTGTCATGCCGACTTTCCAATCGCTTGTATTTCCGTTTGTTAGCATTATGCCGAAGGACAAAACACAAATGATGGTTCTGCTAAAATCCAATTGTTGGATGTGTGTCGCTTCGAATTAAAGCGCATAGGGGTTTCCTCGTCCCGTTCCAAACGGGATGACGAAGCTCGGTTGCTGTGGCCGTCCCAACGCTTCAATTGCGGGTGGAGAGAGGATGTGACTCCGGCATAACAGTATGAACCCCTGGTATGAATGAGCCCCTGATATGAATGAACCCGTGGTCAATATGCCAATTTGAGCTCATGGGAAGCATGGCAAATTGGCAAACCAGCCAAGGGCGCCCATATCCCAAAAATCCATTGACTGTTGTCTGAGCTGTTGGTTTCAAATCGGCAACCCTTGGAGTTTGTGTAGCCTCAAACTCGGCCGCAATTCTGTCCGGCGCTGTCTATTGTGTCAACTCTTCGTCTTGGCGTGTTGGCTGCGTTGCTCCAGGCATTGTTGAGCTCAAACCAAGACTCGGCAGAACACCCCCGTTAGTTTGTCTTGTCTGGTGTTCTGAAACTCTACAATAATGGACGGTCCACGGAGGTCCTTCAAGCGCCCAGACGCCAACTGCCCGGAGATCGATCGATCGATCGACTCCCGTGGAAGGTTTCCCCGCGCCTCGGGCAGGCGGCCCTGGGCCCGCAGGGTGTTCGCCAGCTTCCGGCGGCTCGGCTTGGTGGGGGGGCCACGGCGGTAAAGCTCCTGGGCAGAAATCTCCGGCGGAGGGCGGGAGGGGGGGATCGGCCGGATCCCATGACCTGCAGGATCCAAGAGGAAAAGCAAAGTCTACTAGAACAGCGGCGGGGTCGACCAACTTTCTGTCGTGCTGGGCGAAAAGGGGGGGGTCTTGGATAAGCACCCCACTTCCTAACACTTAGGAAGTGGCTGCTATCCGTGGCTAACAGGCCTTTGAAAGTGGGCTATGAGGCAAATCCGTGGCATAGTGGGCACATTTACTGAGCAATAGTAGCTAGCCACTTGCTTGGTTGGGTCATCCAGGCAAACAGGGTGACCACGCCCAGCCCACACCCCATCCCCAGTCGAGGTGGTTCCTTATGTGTCAAACCTAAACAAAAATAGAGAGCACTCATGTGAGTGAGAATGGCATTCGAAAAGGAAAATATCGAGAATCCCCCCCAAGAGATTCAAGAGATTGAATCAGAGCCATTTTTTGAAACAGGGATAAGGGAGCCCTTGCAGCGTTCTACATTTACAAGGGGTTTGTGTTCAGATTTAGTTGGTTCACTTGAAATATGTTTGGGTATCGCATACAACCCAATCGACATGGAGCAACTTCTTCCGCCGGTGCTTTTAGAACATGTTAGACAAGCTTCCTCATACATCCTTTTCAAACTTCACTCGACAAAAAGGACTACACTTAGAAACTGCTTAAACGGTGATGGGGATGTTGAAGCTGGCCCAAACCAGACATTTGTGGTTGTTGTTTGTGTCTCGAGTGCCCTTTTGGGGCTGTGTTCAAAAGGAACCCCACCAATGTCCTTTTTTGGGGGGTGGTCCCTGATTTGCCACAACATGAATCCATTCATATGAGCGAGTTTACCCTTATATCACATTGGGGGACCTACTAACCAAAACATATAAGACGCTTAACTCCGGTCATAGAGGACCCTTCGTCTCCAGCGTTTGGGGCCCCAGAGTCCCCACGTCGCTCGCCCCCGACCAGCCTCCGCCTCCGCCAACTTGCCCCGGCGCTGCAAGAGGTCGGCCAGCTCCTCCGCCACCTGCCCCGACCCTCCGCCCAGTTTCTGCACTGGGAAAAGCAATCCAATGTAGACGGAAAACCCTGCTCATTGGTCTTTTTCTACACTGGATTGGATTTTACTAAACTGGATTGGTGAGCTTTATGGTAGACAGAGCTTAATACAATTTGTCCAGACAGAGAAACAACCCAGAGCAGACCATCGCTAGAGGTTTGGGAACTTGGAAATGGGTCTCCTAAAGGATCTCCACGGTGAGCTCGTTGCACTCAAGTGAGTTAATGTTAGATAGCGATTAAGAAAAGGGGAGTGAATACAGAAAAAAACAATCTCAAAATTATTCACTCTCCTGAAAAGCAAAAAAGGGTAGGTATTACAGAAAAAACATATGCCCGAAATCCCGAAAATATGTTCCCTTCCAAGAATGGACTATTTTTGAGGTTTGAAACGTTTGAGTCCAGCCAGAAATGTCTAGAATCCCTGGATTGCTTCCTGTCCCGAACCACCAAATTCCTTATCAATCCCTTTACTAGAAGATGCACCCTGACAGATTTTCAAGGGGGTGGCACACGGAACCGCCAGGAAGGCGACAATGCAGTTTGTTTAAGGGTTGGGAATTGTAAAAAAAATAGCCAGGGCAGCCTGCCAAGAAGAAGAACCAATACTAAACCAGTTCTAAACTGTAGTGAGTCAACTGAAAAGAATACTGAACTAATACTAAACCAATTCTAAACCGTAGTGAGCCAGCTCAAAGGAATACTAAACCAATACTAAACCAACTCTAAACAATACTTACTGGAAAGCTACTCAGGCAGGTCCCAGTCTGACCCCCATTTTGTTTTTGGGGTTCTCGCTATTGAGGGGGAGGGGGGGGGGCCTTTATAAATCACTCTCCAACATTACAGAGTAAAGGCTAGATGTGTCAATGTATCGGCAACACACAAAACCACTCGCTTGCCCAAAACGCAGCACATGGGACGAAAAGTGTTGAGGCCCTCCCCCTGGTTTAGTGGGAACTTTGGCTTGTCCCTGCTTCTCATCCTCCCAAACAAAGAGTAGACCAACGATAATTCTGCCAATTGCTTGTATTGGCATGAATTTGATTGGTGGTCAACATTCGGTGGGGAATCAGGCGATCCTTAAAATCTGTTGCCATGCGTTCAAAAACGAAGAAACGTATGGAGGGTTACCTCAACCCATGGGATCCTTACCTGTCCAGCCAGCATTTCACCCGGAAATCCACTGCCCAAAAGCGGTACTCTGAGAGCCAGTGAGTTACAGTGACCTACGCTTGCAGAGCACACATTCGGGTTTCAGGGAAGTCCTGCGGAATCAGGCGCCCAGAAAAGTCCACTCGTTTAAAAATCGATTCCCCAGCCCAAGAAGCCCCAACCGGAGGGGCTTGGAACAGATGGAAAAGAAAACCGGACAAATGGACATCCTTTCAAAGTGTCTTCGAGGTAGATGGGTGTAAATTTAGCTAGGGAACCCTTTTGGACATCAAATTTCGGTGAACATTCATCCACTTATGCGGTCATTCCCTATTCAAATTGGCCATAGCTTGTTCAACGAACAAGGGGCAGGACGACCCTGGAGCTTAGCCATAAATCCCCCTGCTGCTCGGGTCCCCAGCCTTACAGTTACAGCATGGTGGTTGAAAGCGACACTGGTCGAACAGAGGGAAACCCGCAGATCCATAGGTGGCCTTTTGGTGACATAGATGGCCCTGGCAAATGGAATCAAACCCATCTAAGCCAGGGCCATCCATTTTGAACCAAACAAACCTAAAAAGGACACCTATGCTCAGATCATTCTCGAGGACAATATGTTCACCTCTGGTTTCACGTTTGCTTGATTTGTTGGCGCTCCGTGTGGACGGGCAAAATCCCGGAACCAGTTGGGATGCAGGAACCCCAACACTTGATAAGCCAATCCCAACTGGTGTTGCATGAATGCGCAGAACCGGGCTTGTCTCATGGGCGTTTCCTGGCATTCCCAAGAGCTCCTCATGCCCCCAGGTGTAAAGGCCATGGTTGTGGCAAGTGATTGATTCTGCGATACCACAACGGCCATATGTTTAAATCGGGACCCGCTGCACAAGTGGCTGGTGGACATAAATCCCCAATTTGATGTCCACCAAAGGGTCCCCTATGAAAACTCACCACCCAAACGGCCCATTCCTATGACCTTGCCACTTGAAAAGTGACTCCCTCGCATCCCCGCCTCAACCTCCTCCGGCATCGGGGGCTCCAGGCACTCGTAGCCTGTCGAAGCAGATAGCCGGCCCAAAAGTGCCCGGGTCAAGCCCGCCATAGAACACAACGCATGCTTCTCCTACGCTCATGACTTCATGTGGCTGTAAAGCAATCTACCCCACTCCAAGCATTGCGCCCTTGCACGGAACCCGCACCACCTTTCTGTAGGTTCAGGAAAACCTGCGTTTTGGGGCAGAAAACCCAGACTCCCAGGAGGGGCACATGGGAAAGCGCCCGTGGCATATCTTATAATTATATATCTACATATGTATAGATATATACATATACAGTACTTTCATGTGTATATATATATATATATATGTATACATATGTCTGTATAGGCGTGCATGTGTGTATATCCTGCGCGAGTACCCTCCGAGTACCCTGCGTGCGAGTGTGCCAGAGTTGCGTGCGAGTGTGCGAGTGGACTGTGCGAGTGTGCGAGTGGAACGGGCGAGTGAGCGGACGAGTGGACGAGTGACTCGAACACTCGCGCGCCCTACTCGCACACTTTCACTCGCACAGAAATGTGGTCTTTTTTTAGACCATATTTTTGGGTCACGAATACTGCTTCCAGTTGCTTGTGAAAAATAAGGTCTAAAAATATAAACTTATTTCTGTGCGAGTGAAAAGTGTGTGAGTAGGGCGCGCGAGTGTTCGAGTGCCTCGTCCACTCGTCCGCTCGCTCGCCCGTTCCACTCGCACACTCGCACGCCCTACTCGTCCACTCCACCCGCGCACTCGTCAAGAGTCACTCGTACACTTTTTGGCAAGAGTGCATAAAAAGCCTGGTTACAACCTCTTGGCAACAGCTAATGTATATATATATATATTTATTGCACCCCGTCCCCGCTCCAATTGGAAAGGCGGATTCCGGAGAAAAGACAAAACAAAAAAATATCAAAAGTCGGAAGCCGGCGCGCCTTCCAGCACCCGGCGCAGCAGCATCTCGGCCTCCGGCAGCTCGCCCTGCCGATGCGTTCCGCAGGATGCCGCCAGCCAAGAGGCGGGGGGGGTGGGCCGCGGGGAAAGGGACACCAAGGGGGAAGCCAAGGGAAACAGCTTTTTGTGCAATCTTTCCCCATCGGCAAGGGAGTCCCATGGGCACATAGATCCGAGGTTGTCAGCTATGGGGCAGAACAAAGAAGAAGTACCCCCCAAAATGTGGAAGAAAGGTATGTCCTGACTGGGATGTTGGGCCCAAACTTGTGCCTTAGCTTTGGCTTCTGATTGTCAGTCTTGGCTTTATTTATTTCAGCCGGGCGTGCTTGTGTGGATGGTCGAATGGTCCAATCCTCAAATTGGGGACCGCAGAATAAGGAGCCAGTGTTGAGCAGAATGGTTTGGTTATTTGCAACCAAAAAAACAAAAAACAAAGAGACATGGGGAAGAATGGCATCCACAAAGCCGCCGTCACCCCCTGCCCTCGTCCACCCCACCAACTCAAACGATGGTTTCACCATTGAAACGGGCCAGCCGTCTACTGTAAACGAATTCCCCCTCAACCCCCTCTATCCCCCACCCGCCACAGACGTGACCAGGCTCTCCATACTTTCTCTACCCTGAAATATGGGTGTGTTTTCTTTTAGGGGACCACTCCCCCCCAAAAAAAAAGAAGAAGAAGTGATTTTCCTTGAAGGTGTCCTTTAAATCAGACCGAGAACTCACTCCCTGAGTTGCTTGGCCAAAACAAGCCTAAACTCCTCGTTTACAACTTTTAAACGGTCCAAACCAAAAAACGTGACGAAAGTCCATGAACCCAGGGAGTGAGAGAAGGGGTGGGTACCCTCAAAAGGGGTGGTTCTATCGTTTTCAGTGGGGGTCCTATCGTCTTGCGATGCTTTCTGCAATTTTACGCTGCAACCACCCCCGCTTTACAAAAGTGATCTACGCATATTTTGACCGCGACTCATATATACGTGTATATATATATTTATATTTATATTCTCAGACCCCCAGCGCCCCTCCCCATTTTCCCCCCCCCCCCCGCCTGGCGCCGCAGTAGCTGCGCCAGGCTCCGTGTCGCCCGCAAGCAGTCGACGTTCCGCTGACCCAGCTGTTCCTGTCGACCTGCGCCAAGACGGGGTGCACCGCTTTCGGAGGGGGAACCTTTGGTTGGGTTTCTTTAGGCTGGCTTTTGGGGGGAACCCTTGGATTGGTTTCAAGGGCTGGTGGTTTGTTTGTGGTTGGTCAAGAGGGCTGAAATCATGTCGTTGTCTTTCTGGTTGGTCGATTTGGAGACACAGGTTCTGGAATGCCCCGTCTGTCCACAGCTGGGACATGTGAGTCAAGTGCAAACTAGGTTTCTTCAGGACCTCAAAATGGAAAACCCCTTCGGCCAACCCCTTTTGGTCTTAGAACTAGGAGCTTCCTCTAGTGGTATACTCGCTTGCCCCGGGATCCGAAAATACAAGGTGGCCACCTTTTGGGATCTGGACGAATGGTTGCCAAAAATCTGAAAAGGTCGAAAGGTTGCTTCGCTTTGGGCGACTGAGTAAAGGTTATAAATCCCTCTCTCTCAAGTCTCAAAGCTTCAGTCGAAGATTGTTTCCACTGCCTTTGATGGGATAACCGCCGGGCAGTTTGATTGAAGTGGCGCTTACATGCCCTCAAACCACTGCCCTCGGAGTGAAATGTGATATACAACTACTATGTAGCTAGCATGTGAAGGGTATGAAGGGTACCCGTCTGCAAGGTGAACTCATCACTGACCCCTTTCTGGGGCGGGTGTTTGTTTTCGCCGAAGAGGTTTCTATGTTCCCAGACAGCCAAAGGCTCACATAGAGGGATCGTCTGAGTTCAAACCATCTAAGGTCCGGGAGTTGGCTCTCGAGCAAAACCCACCATCTGCGAGGTGGACAGTAGGAGTCCTGTTCCCCCTGGTCAGGTGAATGTTCAAGCCGACGGCTTGGAAAGCACCAAAATGTGTTTTTTTCTTGAAGGCCTCCTTGAACGACCCAGCCTTCAACATTGAACTTGGGGGGCAGGGGCCGGGCCTTGGGAGTTGCATCTTTGTTTCTGCTTGGTGGCTGATTTTCAGCACCTAACCCCCAGACCTTCCAGGCATGACCCCCATGTGCCATGGTAATACTCCGAATCTGTGGGTCACTGTGGTGCCACTATGCTGGTTGTGGTCTATCCGATTATTTTTGTGTGTAGGAGTTGCAAAGTGAAGTATGCCCATCAGCAGCCTGGTCTGTAGGGTTATTATTGAAAAATAGGGGGGTGGTCTCCGGTTGCGACGCCAAACTTACGTGGACCTCATGTCGTGAAGCAAGGATTCTTAACCCCTCTGGACGTGAACCTGAAATTTCTGAAAGGGGATCCCCAAAAAGTGGGTGTCCACTATCCATAGGAACCTCGGGAAGTTGGTGGTCTCAAAGCCCTCAGACTTTGACCAGGCTTAAATGGCGCCTTTGAGGTTTGTCGTTGGTCCCCAACAACTGCTACCCTCTCAGCCCCTTTCCCACCCCTTTCCAGCCCCGCGGTCGCGGCCTTTCACCACCTCACGTAGCATCTCCTCGAAGCAGAAGTTAGAAAAGTCCCACAGATGTTGGGTGTAATGTCGACACGGAATTCTGAAGCCCAAATCTGGGGTACGCAAAACATATGTTCAGCTTCAAGTCCATTCTTAGTTGGTTTGCATTTGAGTGACAGTAGATAGCCATATTTGTCTTGTTCCAGTGTTTTTTGTTAGTTGCGGCTCCTTGCAGCAAGCCATAAAGCGCATCTAAACCCGTACTATCTTTTTTAAAACCAAACTAACCTAAGAAGGGGCCATCCATTTTCTACCAAAGAAGGAGACCTATTCCCACTGTCCACAGCTCAGGTCTCTGCACATCGCGCCATCGAAGCATCGCTCCTTGGCCTCCGCCCCCTTTCCGCAGCTCCGCAGCAGCTCCGCCAAGTCGAAGCGGGCCGTCCTCAGGCTCTCTAGGGAAAGTCGGCAGGAGGGGTCCCCATGTCTCCCCCCCACAAAGGGTGCTTGGGTTTGGTGGTTTGGTGGCTTCGTGGATTGGAGGGGTCAAAACTAAGCCACCAGACTGCAGGTTTTGGTCCTTGACTCCATTTACCAGGGTTCCATTTTGGGGTTACCCTATTTTTGACCCACAGCCATGGTTTTCCACTGTTCAGCTTCCCTACGTTTTTCACTTCAAGGATCACCCCCACCAAAAGAAAACTCGCTCGGCCCAAAAGATGTGTTCAAGCCAGCCCTATGCACGGCTTGGATGCTATGCACGGCTTGGATGCGAGGGGTAGGAGATTGTTTTTGGTATGATTGTATGTATGTATGTATGTAGAAGATGTCGCTTATGGTGACATAAGCGAACCCTTTTATGCTGGGCCACAACGACAAGCTCTACAGCTTCCATATGGAGAAGAAAGCCCAAAGAAACCCACTCAGGCCCACATGCTCGTGTCTCAAATGTTGAATACCCAAAAATGAATCTTGGTATGCGTTTTGGTATCCCTTCAAGACAACCTGAAAAAGGTAGCGAGCCTCAAGTAACACCCACCCCTACAACTTTGCCTCTAAACGAGCAGCGCCCAAACCCACTACCCCTTCTCAACTAGCTCAGAGGGGTTTGGGCACAGCTCAGACGGGGAGCACTGAGCACCCAAAAATTGTGCTTTCCCTGTGGCGTCCCATCGAAGTGGCCAAAAAATGGTAGCCTCAAAAACGACATGCCCATGTGAACGTGTGTGTGTGTGTGTCCCATACAAAGAGGGAACCCCCACCACTCAACTCAACTCAACTCAGCACCCCCTTTCTTTTTGACTGAAGAGAATGCACAATCAAACCTTAAAACATTTGTCTAGGGGTTGATTCCCCATTCTTTTCAGCCATCCTTCTTTTCAAAACCAAGTGCTTTTGCTGGTTTTCTAGAAAGAAGGATCCGTGGAAAGCATGCGGGAGCTAGCCCTAGAATTTTGCAACTCAAATCGGCACCCTTTCTATTTTTGAGTGAAGAGAATGGGGAATCAAACCTTAGAACATTTCGAGGAACACCCCCCACAACCAGAAAAGCCAAGGCGCAGCGTGCTGGGGTGCTGCTCCCCCAGCTGCTCTCTGCACTCCACCTGCACCTCGCGCAGCAACTTCTCCGCCGCCGCGCAGGCGCCCTGCTCCTGGAGCAAGCGGGGGGGGGGGGGCCCGAAACCTGAAATGATCACCGAGCGTACTCAAAAACCTGGCAATGAAAAGAATCGCCTACACCCCTACCCCTCCGATGACCCGGATTTTTGGCTCAAAGAAGGTTCGTGGTGGAAAGTGTAGTTGGGTGGTGGCAACTGGGCAGGGTGCTTTTTGGAGTTGGCACCAAGAGATCCTGTTTGCTGAGCTGGTTTTAAAGGGAAATCGAACCATTCAGATTCATGGGGCGGGGTGTTCCATGTTGAGGGACACCAAATAGCACGTCGACTATTTCAAACCCCAACACCTTGGCAGACTGCTTGACTTAGCATTGCACACACCTTCCTCTTTGGATATCTTGTACGTGTTTGTTTATTTCAGTCTGAGCTTGTTGACCCCTTAAAACAGATAAACTGCTTGCTGATTGGTAGGGAAGATTGAAACGATCATGAATCATATTTCACAAACTGGAAAGGCACAAGCTGGAACAAAGGAGCTATTCTTTTTGATGGTTCCCAAACCACCAGAGTATATTGATGAAATCTGGTTGACGGGAAAAGGTTGGCATGTTCACGGTCCAAAGGAGAACCGTTTGTGGAAACCCAAACCGCTCGTCTTTCGGCCATAACCACACAAAAATGGTTGCAAATTAATCGGACCGCAACCCATTTCAGCTGTTGGCTTCTGGGCAACCAAATTAGGTTACAAACCGCTCGGTGTTTGACAACAGCCCATGTTACCTTTCCTCTGGGCAACCAAACATGATGGGTTGGCTGAACAAGAACCGAACTTGGGCTTTGGATTAGCACGCGCTTCCCTACATCTTGTCCGCAAGCATCGCTTGGCCCAACTCTGCGTGCAAAAAATCAGATGGACACGGAAACAGCAGGCTAACCTCCTGAAACCTTCACTAACTAGTCCCAACATTGGAGCACCAGAAAGTTACAAAAGGTTGGCCAGAGGAGGCTCTTGAGCCACCGTTTCGTGCGAAAGCTTTCCCCCCTAAGAATCTTTGGACCTCAAATAGGCCTTTTTTGAGGTCCAAAATCTTCCCATGCAGATCCACACCCCTATGGAGGGTCCTTAACTCATGCAGTTTGCAATCAGGCACTACAAGGTGGTGTTCTTACGTTAAGCCTTTCAATTAGTCATCATTGTGGTAAGCTATTCCTGACCATTTAGCCCATTCTGTGGCTGTGTCTTTTTTTAGGGGACCTCCAAAACTGGTGGTAAACCTTATGGTGTCCACTCTAAACCCCACCAAAACAGCGGTTATGCCTCGCAAAAACCAGGATGAGCCACCCAACCTGAGCCGCGTCCAAGGTCCCAAAAGCCAAAAGCGCGTCCTGCAAGCGCGCGGCGAAGTCTCTGGCTGCCGCTGCGGCCTCCGGCTTGTTCTGCGCCCGCCTGAAAGATCTGAGAGCCGAGAGCCGAGAGCGGGTGACCCGTGAGTTCCAAAACGATTCCAAAATCGGATGCTTCACAGCCTTTGAATAGGTCCCAACAAGGGACCGGGGCTCGTTCTGGAGTGTAGGGGCCAAAAGAAAAAGACGCTTTTAGAACAAGCCTGTAGATAAATTGGGCTCAAGATGATGAGGGGCAACCCGTCTCCTTTTGCCTTCCCTTTGCAAACCAAAACGGGGGTGCTCCGTCAAACTGTTCGGGTTCCTGAGAGGATACCACCTTTATGAGAAACCGGGTCCCCTACAGCTGTTTTGGCTGACCCATATTCGTCTCCAAGCGACCCTGGCTCGGTAAGTAGTTTACGACCAGATATACCCTGTGTCCAACAATCATGAAAGTGGACAGGGGGTTCCCCCAAAGGAAAGTAGTCTTCCAAAACCCACCTGTCAACTTCCATGATTGGGGGGGGGAGGGTAAGTGGTTGACATTGTTTTGTTGAGAGCCTTTTCAGGCTGGTTTCATTGCAAACCAGAAGGAGGGTCGGAACCGGTTTTGTTCACAAGGGAACCAAACTGTTCGCCAAATTGTGTTTCCCCAGCTCTTGATTGGTTCCCCTAAAAGTTCTCAAGTTGAGGGGGCCCAACTGAATCCTATTTTCAGGAACACCCGCAATTGAATGGCCCGCTGAGGTACACACAAAAACGTGTTCCCTGCTTAATATCATATTTTGTCTAGCCCGAGATATTCTTCTAGTTTTGGAGACCCTAGAATTTGGGCCTTTCCAAAAAAAAGAAGAAGAACAAAAAACAAAAAAGGAAGAAGAAAAACAACAGAAACCGACCGACTCCCAAGACCCCACATCCCAAGGCCGAGCGGCAGGTTCCGCGCCAGGCCCTTGGCCGCGCGCAGCGCCGGCGGCGCCGGCGAGGCGCCTTGATCGTTGGCGCCGCTTCCGCCGGGGACCAGGCGACGCCACAGCGCCTCCGCCTCTGTCGGATGGTCCTGCGGCGAGAAAACGGGGGAGGGGGAGAAGATGGACCCTTGAGGTCTATTCGGAAAAGAAAAGCATCACTGCCCAAGGGTTATGACCCATCTTTTGGAGGCTTGGAGTGAAATCAAACCCTTGCAGGCATCAATTTTGGTTCCCAAGGGATGGTCAAGGACCCTACAAACCTCTCTAACAGCAAAAACACATCACCTCTCAAGAAACTCACCCAAACGGGTCAAGCAAGTGATCTTCAACAGCACCAAAACACGGGGGTAAATCAAACAATTCCAAGACGCACCTCCCACCCACCCACCCTACCATACCTACCATGCCTAACTACCCACATAATGCACACCCGCAGGGTCGAGTCCGCCGCGAAACGGAACACCGCTTCGAACCTGCATGAAGACCGCGAGGTGCTCCAGGGACTCCGAGGTCTCCGGGCCTTGCAGCTTCTCCCGGCCTCGAAATCAACTCGACTCGCGGAGGGCTCAGGGGCCCCGAGGGGCCCGGAGGGGCCCGGAGGGGTCCCAGGGTCGATGGGCCCAGAAGCTTGAGCCTTGGTGTGGGTAACTCCCCAGAAAATGAGTGAAGGGCCCCCATGTCTGGCCCGGATCGGGCGGCGCGAACTTGACCGGTTGGGGTGGATAGAGAATAAGGTGGTCTGATTCTGTGTCAAAGGAATCCATCAAGTAAGATCAGACACCCGGCGAGATGGTGCGAGCTTCGTCCTTTGTGCGTCGTGATGCATCTTGTTGCCTGCTGATGAACTTCCGAACACCCTTGACAGAACCCGTTTAGGGTCCCTCAACATTTCTCTGAGCGGTGCTTCTAGAGGAAACTCTTTTTGCAGGAACGGATGGGGCGACAGCCAGAACAGGCTTCCTGACATATCCCCCGCAAAAATCATACCACCCAACAGCAAATCATACCCTTCTTGGGGTTCCACCTTGCATTTTTTTGCAAGGGGGAGAAACCAAGAACACCAACCACTTCCCACCATCCACCCATCCGTCGAATCCGTCGAATCCGTCGAATCCGTGCAACTCCCCGCCTCGCAGCGCCCGCTTGAAGAACTTCTCGGCCTCCGCCCGCCGGCCCTGGGCCTGCAGCAAGCAGCCCATGTGGTCCACCTGCCGCTGCGGGAAAAACGAAGAGGGAATTCCTTTTCAGAAGACCCGAAAAAAAAGGTGATCTTCAAACGCGCCAAAAAGGGACACATCGGCAACCCATCCGAAAAAAGTGTGTGCGGTGTGTGCCCGACACCCCTTGACGATTGGTTCTACCGCCACCCCCGTACCCGGTAGGAACGCAAACCCGGCCAGGAACCTACGGCCAGCCTCCATGTCCCCTGAAGAAAATAAAATACTGTGGATGGACGAACTCCTGCGCCACTTTGGGCCCATGGGAAACCATTGTTTCTCGGTATTTACCAGGGAATCGTATCATTCCAGAGTTTCTTAGGTGGTGCAGGATTTCGTCCATCCACGATATGTCCTGCAAGTAGCTCATAGATTCCCTTTAAAAACCACAGGAGAAGCTTACCAAAAAAAAAAGAGCGCTTCCTCCACACACCGACAACCCCTCGAAACTTCGCTGGCCCAAATCGTCCGTCTCCAGCCCCGCGAGCCGCGCTCGGAGCTCCGAGGCGCCGCCCGCAGGGTGTGGGGGTGCGAGGCATCCAGCTGCTCCTCCAGACCCGACAGCGCGCGGCCCAGCAGCTTCTCGCCCTGCGAGTCTGCGAGTCTGCGAGTGCCAAGCGGCCAGGGAGCCCTTCACGGGGAACCCATGGAACCCGCCCCAAGAGCAAAACAAATGGCGCCCTTTGGAGGAAGAAACCTCGTCCAAGCCGGGATTCTGTGGTTCCATGCTTGTGGATGGGAGGGGACCAAGTTGTAGTCATTCTAAGGGGCCTCCTCAAAAACCTTGCAATGCAAAGACCTTCTTAAACAAAAATCACAGCCCTTCCTGCTTGATACATCTCCGTCCCATTCTCAAGCGAAGCCCTTCAGCCCGAAGCGGGCCAATCGGCCTCCGCCAAATTCCCCCGCAGTGCGCACAACTGGCCGAGGTGGCTCATTGCCAGCAGCGTCTCTGGATGCGAAGGGCCCAGCACCTTCCTCAGCTAGCTCAGCGCGTGGAGTCAGGGGAACACCACCCCACAGACCCCTTAAAGGGTTTTCGCTTCAGCCATAAGGGCCCAATCTGACAAAGGCATCATATTGGGCTAATGCTAATGCGACTGGAATCCGGAAACGAGGGCAGCAACCTGAGTCGTTGGTGGATCCTGAAAGCAAGGAAGGGGCTGCATGTTGTGGGGAGCGAGCGAGCCGAAACCTGCTTCCCAAAAGTCAGCGCTGTGAAACAAACCTCATCACATGCAGGTGGCGTCGCAAACCCTCCTAGTGATGTCGCCATGATTTACCCAGAAAGTTGAATCTTCCTTCGTGCCTTGCATAACTCCAACTAGCGCCAATCTGCAATGACACGACGCCAAGGGAAACCACAGCCATCTGGCATAAGGACTACGATGGATTACGAATCGATTTTGAACAACCCCGGCATTTGGCTCTGTGTCAAAACCAATCGGCCGCCTTCGGGGAAGAAGTGCAAAGGGAAACAATATCATTGTTCCCATAAGAATCTTCGTACCGGCGTTTTTGCCCATGGCACACATGCATCCCTGCAATGTCGGGATCTGTGGAAACTTGGTGGTCTTCCAAACGGATAGCTTCTTTGGGTTCCAGGAAAACTCGCTCCGAAAGGGGTCCCTGATGTTCTGCCGCTCTTCCCAGGGCGAGAGAGGCCATGTGCGCCATGGTCAACACTCCGCATGGTCATGAACCCCTTGATGGGAATCCTTGTCATGTCCGCTTCAATTTCCTTTCAAAAAGCTCATGGTCATTTGGGAACCCCATGTGCCTTTTGGAGCTGGTTACGCGGCAAACCCTGGGTTTTCGCAGAAGGAAATCCCGGGAAAACCACCAGGTTGGGACCTTTTGTGGCGCGATGAAAAGGGCCCCCCAAAAAAGGGGATGGGTCCCCTTTGATTCAGATGATAACCCGCTTCTTCGCTTCGAATCGCCGAACCGATCGGATTTTTCAGGTCCATCCATCCAGCCGAAGGCCTTCCTCAGCCCCGGCCCCTCCCATTCCAAGCCGCTCATGACCCCGGAGTGCTTGCCTGAAGCGGTTTGCTTTTGGCCGAACTCGGAAACACGTGCTGCGGGAAATAGATGTTAATACCAAGGCTTCCCGAAAAGGCCGTGGGGTCGAAACGAGGCAACTACTTTCCGAATCCACATGTTGGAAACCGGATTGTTTTGGGCAAGGTGTGCAGAGAAACCTACAGGTGTCCGAAAAATGGCGAACCACATTTGGTTCGTGCTCATAGGGAAACTTGAAGGTGTGCCCAAAACTTGGGGAACCCCTTTTGCTTGTTTAAGGGGAAACCCCTACCACCTCTAGGGTCCAATTCCTATTTTAGGAACACCCGAATGGTGTTCCATGCACTGCCCGCTTTCCAACAAACGTGGAAGTGGAAGGAGGGCTTGGGAGAATCATGATCTCCATGTTTTGATTGCTTGAAAAGGCAACCCAGACCTCCAGCGGCCGTGGGAATAAAGGGCGAAGTCTCTTGATTGTTTCGAGGTTCTTTTTAGAGTTGCTTGTTTGTTCTGATGTAGCTTCCAGTCCCCACTTAAAGGACATTGAATCTGAACAGTGGCAAAGTCTGGCATTGAACAAGTCAGTTGATTTGTGCGGCGACGTTGGGCGGTCTTCCAATCTCCCCGTCCCGGTGTTGCTGTCCAGATGCTTGTGCAAAACGAAAAGTGAAAGGATCCACCAATTTCAAGTCTCCCTGTTCTTGTGGGTGCTAAAACCAATCAGCTTGGAGGCACGTATCAACCGCGAAAAACCAGCGGCTGGTCGGAGCAGATATGCTGACATTAGCTACCTCCCCAAAAGCAACTGGCCTGACGGCGGATCCCTTCAGAAATATGGTCTTCTAGCACATCCATGTTTTTTGCTGGTGTTCGGAGGGATGGGCGAAAGAGGCTCCGTGAGGATCGTAACACTCCCACCAACAAACATGGAAGTGCACGGCGTGGCGCTCCGAAAACATTCTTCCAAATGCCTGACCATGAGGTTGTGAAATGGAACGGCCCGCCGGATTCAGAAAGCCAGACTCCCCATCAGACAGTGATGGAGCCAGAAATGAAGCACCAAGTGTCCATCAAACAGTCAACCAAAACCAGTATCGGCATATGCCACCGTACAATGCCATTCATACACGCAGCAGAAGCAAATTGAACAACGAAACACTCCGCAAGTCATGCAATCTGGCCGGCTCGAAGAACCTCTTTGGTACCTGGACTTTAGCTGCCTGAAACAAACAATGGGTTGTCCACAAGCTGGATGTTCCGCTGCTTGCGAGTTGGGAGGTCACTTCCAATGTGGGTGAATCGTGGTTCTACCAGCCAAAAACTTGGAAACCTTTGTCATGGTCGTCGGTTGCAATGTCCCTTGTCCCTCAAGGTGGACCTCAAAAGCATGGTGCATGGAGCAAGGGATTGCTTGCTGATGTCCAACACAATCTGCGCAGCCAATAGGTTGCCAAGCAAGCCCGTGTTGGAACATGGTACCGCCCAACAAAGGATCAACGGAGCAACGGAATGTACAGCAAGCGGCTAAGTCATTCCACGCATATCCTATGGCCGTGACTTAATTGGTGACCTTTCTCGCCTTTTCCGGCTTCACTGTTGCAACTCGATGCCCGCCTCTGCAGGAACTCGGCCTCTGTCGTCTTGCCTTGCTCCTGGATAGCCCACTCACCAACAAGAGACCCATCCACCCGCCCACCCACCCAGCCAACCCCAAACCATCTGGAACCAAGCCGAAGCAACAACAACATCAGAAAAAGCAAAGCAGGTTGGGAAAACACAATTCGCGGGGATATGCGGGAAGCGGGGATCTTTGAAGATGCCCCGAAAGGAGAAGGCAGGTCTGAATTTTACCCGAACAAAAATATGCCCACATCCCTGCGTCCGCCGCATCCGTGCTTGTTTGTTTGCCTGAGGTCCATCATCATGCTCTCCGAACCGCTGCAAGTTCTTCACCACTCCGAGCTATGGCTGTGTCTTGTTGCATTGGACCAGGACCATCATGCGAAATTAAACGCCGGAAACGTTCCAAGTGATTGTCTCCGACCTGCTCGCTTGTCTTTCAAGTGCCCTTTGGGGAAGGATGCATGCAAGGAGACAGCGGGTTGCATGCGATGATGCGTTGTTCACCATGTTGTTTTCCGGGCTGAGTGGTGATTTCTCTCCCAGATGCAGGAAAGTGTGAATGTTGCCATTCTTGCAGCTCCAATCAGCAGGAACTCGTTTCCAAAGTGGCTATGTGTCACCAAACGTCCACAAGACAAAGAACAAAAGGAGGCTGTTGTACCGCCTAAATCCATATGATGTCCAAAAGCATTGTGAAAGTTGACAAGGCCATGAAACCCACAATTCCTGGTGGAACGCGATGTCAAACTCAGCCGTCTTTACCATTCAGCCAGCAATTTGCCATGACGAACAGACCATCAAAGCGTAGGCGCAGCAGGGCAAGGTACCGTCATTGATCGACTCAAGCGAAGGAATCGCTACGGAAAGCAGCTTCATCATATCTGGTCCTTGGTCGTTTATGTTGTCGCAGCCATGTGCTTCAGTGCTTACGTGACATCATGATCAACGCGGTATCAACCTCATGTTGGATAAACAGCCTGACAAACAGCAGAATTGTGGGATGCAAGGACCCCCGTCTGACACTTGCAGAAGCTAAGCAAGAAAACCTACATGGGACAAAGCTGATTACGGCACCATTCCCTCGACCCGTTGAAGCTGCTGACGTCACTGGCCCCTTACGTCGATAGCGCAAGGTGGGCCACGGCCAAATCCTTCAGATCGCCCTGTGGGGCTGAGAGAGAGACTGTCAGGCTGCATGGATTTGAGCTGTCGCAGCCTTTCTGCCCGGGGAATGTAGTTCTTGCTGACCGATTCCTCTTTGGCCCGTGGCACATCGATCTCCGGGCCCAAATGAGACCAGTGCTTGCTGGACTTTCGTTCATCAGCTCGCTGATCATCGAGTCATCAGCACTCGAGCTATCTGAGCTCGTGCCACTGTATCGGTGCCCTTCTTCTTGTTCTTGTTCTGCTGCTTGGGCGCTTTCGTCCCCAGCCCCATCAGCAGTCATCAGCGGTGCTTGTGGCTCAAAACATCCCAAAGGGGCGCCACAGCCGCGAATCACTTTTGTGGAAGGCTTCGTTTTGAGGGTTCAATGCACTTCAGGGCATCAGCAACCCTTATCCATGACAGCTTGTTTAAGCAGCGCAACAGCTAAGAGGAACAAAAGTTGAAGATGCTTTTGAACAACTGCACAAGCTACTGAGCAGCGTTTTGATCATGAAGCGGGATGCCATATGCTTTACCCTCTAAATCAGAAGCGCTGGGCGCTGGCGGAAGAATGCGACCCTTGGCATGTGCCCCGAACCCACAATCGAACCTTGTTGCTTTCAGTTGTTGCTGCTTGTTGAGCGGTTGTCTTCTCTGTCTAGTGTTGCCTTCCAGCTTTAGTGTTAGTACTTGATTCTCCAGACATGCCAATCGGTGGGGAACAAGCAGCAGACGTCAATGTCATGGGGGGGTTCAGCTGCTCAACCTTCCCGGATGCATCACGCTTGCCCTTTTGCGGTCTTAATGCCAACTTGCAGACTGCAAACAGCTCAGCTTGTCCACTGTGATTACGGCTTATTATTATTACTAGTATTATCATTAATGGTGGTGTGAACCTATGAACCCCCATTGTTTTTATGGTGATGTGAACCCCAAGCTTCCTAAGTGGGTTGAAGAGCCAAGAAGGGTCCCTGCCTCCCACCTCTTCCGATCGCCGCTTCTCTCCTGCAGCAGCACCGCCAGGTGGCTCACCAGCGCCAGGGTCGACGGGTGCGTGGCTCCTGGAATTCACGAATAAAGGACCCAGCGTGGACCCATGGCTGTGCCTTTTGGGGACTACTCCCTTGATGGGGGGTGGACAAAAAAGGGAAGCGAAAGAAAAAAAAAACATTTCGAGGGGGAAGGGCTCACCCAAAGGGGCGCCTAGCGGCCGAAAGCGTTAAAGCAAGCCACAAACGCGGCATTTCCCTCCTAGGTTCCTTATCTTCCTGGAGTGTTGCGGAGCTGAGGTTCCTTAGTGTTAGGGTCCTTAGGGTTCCTTAGGGTTCCTTATCTTCCTGGTTTAGGATATCAGCAAAACAGCCTCTCGCTATCCATGTATCTGTGGCAGAGGGGGCTTCAGAGGTGGGGATTTACATTTGAGCAAATCATTTTTTAGGGAACTAGATAAACCCCCTGGGTCCCTGTGTTTCTCGCAAGAAAGATCCCTCAGAGGTTGTCGAAACTCACAAATGCCTTGAGGAAGATCCCTTGGGCAAACCTTTTGGTGGATGCAAATGATCCATACACGCAATGAATAATATATATATATATATGTACCAGTCCCTGGGCCACGTACCCCCCAATGGTATGGTCCCCCCACTCCCCCGCATCATCCGCATCTTGGGGATGATGCTGGCAATGCTGGGGATGCTGTCCAGTACCGTGCGAGCCCTGCAGCTTCGGTCCCAGACCCCCTTTCACCCCGTGAACCAACACCCCCGCACCTCTCGCAACATCCTACCCTAAACCAAACCACCCTGCAACCCCTCCTTAACCCCAACCCTAAGCCTAAATCAACCCAAACCCCAAACCCACCCGAAACCCACCGCAAACCAACCCTGAACCAACCCTGAACCAACCCTAAACCAACCCACCAAGCCTCAACCAACTCCGAACCACACCCCAACCACCCAACCACCCAACCACCCCACCACCCCACCACCCCACCACCCCACCACCCCACCACCCCACCACCCCGCCACCCCACCACCCCACCACCCCACCACCCACCCCACCCCCCACAGGGGGGGGGGTTGGCCCAACCACCCAACCACCCCACCACCCCACCACCCCACCACCCACCCACCCCACCCACCCCACCCCCACAGGGGGGGGGGGGGGGGGGTCCACGGCCTGGAACATATATATGTGGATGGCAAGTCATATTATATATATATATGTGTACACCAACATTTGGACAGACTTGAACAAAACCCATAACCATATTACACACATGGGTTGTTCGGAACGAGGGAAAGCCCCCTCTGATTTCACGCAGTCTTTCGGATTTCTCCGAATTCCGCCTGCCTCCAATTGCGGGGGATGGATTCGCATCCGAAGCGCCCGCCGGACACGAAGACGTGCGAACTTTGAGCAAGCGAAGTCTGGATTCCGCATTTTCTATAGTTCCTCTTATTGGTCAGCCCATGTCAAAACCGATATCGCCTTGGAGGAATTGCGCAGCAAGTAAGAGCACTGACGGTGGTTGGGCTGCAAATCGCAGACTCCCGCAGAGAAAGCAACCTCGGAAACAATGGCAGAAACACTGGTGGTTATATTTCAAGGCCCGTATACGATCACATACAATCATTATGTATGGTATATATCTACATGTACTGTATGTGCCATTTTATACGTATATATGTATGTATATTATATATATATATACATGTTCAACCACCCAAACCACGCGACATGCGACCCGCGACCCACGAGCCCCGAGTGCCCTGTCTTTCGCGGTCCTAGCTGCTCCTCGGAGCGCTGGATGGCGCGGCGGTAGAGCTCGTCCACCTCCGCCAGCTTGCCTGGGACGAAGTGAGGCTGGACTAAACTAGGCTGGAATTAGGACCCCAGCAAAAAATTATCTTTCTTGCCTGGTTAGTGGAAAACAAAGGGACCAAAAAAATCAAGAGGATTCACTACACTCCCTCAGACTAACATGGAAGCTCCCACAAGCCTCTGTACATGGAACCAAGTCTTCCAAAAAGGTTCACCATTTTGAGAAACCGCTGTCAAATGAGTCACTTGCTCAAAACCCGGTATTAAAACGGTCGTAGTCCCAGACCATGCTTCAAGAATGAAGAAGGCGGATATCCGCAACTATTTCTGGCTGGGACTGCCCTTAACCTTCATCTACCCGCGTTTTGATTGTGGCTCAAAGGGGTCCGGCTGCTGTCAGCTTGGATTTGGATCGCTTCCGCCCGGACTCAGAACCCAGTGGATTTTAGTCTCTCCAAAAAGTGTGGGATCTAAAACTGGTCACCAATGACTTTCCAGCAAATCACCGGGTTTAAGTCGTCGGTCAACCAAACCTGGTTTCTCTCCAAAGCGAGTTGTTGTTTCTTTTTGTGGACTAAATATGACTTCTGTGTGACTTTTCCCTTGGAAGCTTTGGGGTCGGCAGGCCCAAGCTGGGTGGTTGGGAGTGCGGTTGGGGATGCCACCTGGGCGAATGGAGGACCCTTTTGTGGACATCATTCAGGTGGGGTTCATGTCCACCAACCACTTGTGAGGGGGTTCCCCAATCTGGGTCAGACAAGCATACTAACCAAGTTATTTAACAAAGCCCTCTGAATGCAAAAAACAGACTGAGGGTATCGCAGCGAACCGCCCAGTACAAATATGGGCTGACCAGCGTTGGTGCAACATGTCCGATGTACACGTAGATCCGCCCCCAAACAGGGCGCCAACTCTGAAAACGGGGCTGCAAAATCTCCAGCAAGTGTATGGTCCATTTAGGAGGGGCAGGGAGGACGGACCAAACTTTGGCCCTGTTCCCGTTTTTTCCCCAAACAGTGTGTCTACACTAAGGGGTTCTTACGGTAAGAGAAAAGGCCTTGGTGCCAGATTGAGGGGCCCGCTCTGGCCGCGAGCGTTTTGCGTGGTATTTACCGCAGATTCGTGCTCTTGCTTGATGTCGAAGTGCGTTTTGACTGCGCAGGCTCGCACACAAAGTGAGTTGGCGACTTCTGGCCGCGAGCGTTTTGCGTGGTATTTACCGCAGATTCGTGCTCTTGCTTGATGTCGAAGTGCGTTTTGACTGCGCAGGCTCGCACAAAGTGAGTTGGCGACTTCTGTCCGCGAACGTTTTGCGCGGTATTTACCGCAGATTCGTGCTTTTGCTTGATGTTGAAATGCGTTTCGATTGCGCAGGCTCGCACAAAGTGAGTTGGCGACTTCTGTCCGCGAGCGTTTCGCGTGGTATTTACCGTAGATTCTTGCTCTTGCTTGATGTTGAAGTGCGTTTCGACTGCGCAGGCTCGCACAAACTCGATTTTTTTGCTTTTTTGGCGGCTCCGGGGACCGTTCCGGCGAAAGGTCCCGGGCTGTCCGCGCGAGCTTGTTTCCCTTTCTTTGGGCATGCTTGGATGGTGCTTCTGTGCTGCGACGGCGTCTCGATGGTACTCTGAACAGCGCCACAATCGATAAAGGAAGAAGCTACCTAGCTAGCTAACTCACTAACTCAGGCACTCTGGTGAAACAAGCACACAGATCTTGCCTTTTGTAGTGATGCTTACACACACACACACACACACACACACACACACACACACACACACACACACACACACACACACACACACACACACACACACACACACACACACACACACGCACAAACACACGCACACACGACCATGGCGCTGGCTTCGACACGTGTCTGCTGCATTCTCTTGCGCGTGTCTGTTCCAGGCCGTGTCCTTGTCTTTGTGAATGTGCGCGCAAATACCGCAAAATGATGTTGCAGCTTCCTGACAACAACCGCCGTTTTGCGGCGCAGCCCGCACAATACTCTGCAGCGTGTGACCGCCGCCTATCACTGTTTGGGGTCTCGTGCCGGGGTAATTTTTGGGGAAACCAAAAGCAGGTGGTTTCCACGATTGGGGGATGTGTTCTTTTGAGGGTACCCTTCTTCAGGTTGGTTTTAAAGGGAAACCAAAAGGAAAACCACCATTTTGGGGGTCCTCCTAAAAAACACACACTCAATGAGTGTTTAAACATTTGCCCAAAACTTCGAAGCAGTTGACAAGCGTGCCCTTGAGAGACCTGACCCCTCAAATATAGAAGGCTAAGGACTCCTGACAGTCGCTGTTGCTTACAAATTCAGGTCTGGCGGCTTCCTGTTTGGCCTAAAAGACCTCAGGGAGTAAGGCATTCCCTATATTTCCCGAAGCATCGCCCAAAAAAAACTCTTCTTGCACCCCAAAAAAATAAAATGTGACGTCTAAAACATCCAAAGGTGGACATCTAGGAATATGTTGAAGTCTTAAAGCATCTGTTTTCTGGTCGTTGATGTCCAAGCGTTTATCCTCTCCCAAAAAAAGAGCCCCACCACTGCGCTACTGGAGGTCGGGGCGTTCCTTTCAGGGAACAGTTTCAAACGAAACCAAAAGGAACATCACAAACTGGTGGGGTCGCCCTAGGGCCAGACTTCCCCCTGCAAAAGCTTGCAGCTTGATGCTGGCAAGGGAATATGACAGACCAAGTCTGGCCTCCTAGGTGGCCCTTTGACACGTACCTACAGGCGTTTCTGTTTCTGGATTTCCCCAAATGAAAAGTTGATCAACTTGCCGGTGGCTTCCATTGAAACCATCGCCACTTTTGAAGGTTCCACAACGGGAAATGGCTGGGAAACCCCAACGGCCGTCACGCGAGGTCAGGCTGCCCAAGTTCTGCAGTTGACCGGCGAGGTTCTCCACCACGCCTGAGCTCCCGTTTCTCAGTTGAGTGGCTTTTAGGACTCGGAACCAACATGGATGTGGGTGTTCCTTTTGGTCTCCCTTTAAAACCGACCAAAAAGGGTGCCATCAAAAAACAACACCCATGTCTCACTTCTCTCCAAGATGGTTCCGCTACCCCTAGCCACCCACAGGGTGTATATACTGGGAAACGCAACCATTGTTGGCAGTGGAAATCTTCGTCACTCTTCTCAGCCAAGTGCTTTCATTCGGCCCCGTGGTTAAAAAAGCCGGTCCCAAACCAAAGCACCCCAGTAGTTGCCCTCCCTCATGCCATCCCACGTTGCCGTGGCACCTGTGGGAGGGTATCTGGAAGATCAAGTCTCTCTTGGACGGACCCCCTGTGCCATGTTAGTGGGAGAGAGGGTACAACTGTTCTACCCTGGTGGTTCGTCATTGTTTTGAGGTTCGGGACAACCCTGCTTGAGAAAGACTCCTAAAAGCAGTATTTCTGGTCCATAGCAGAGCAATCCGCCTAGAATAATGTTTCCCGCTCAAAGGGGAACCACACACGGTGAGTACAGCCTTCCGGATTGATCCAAAGTTAACATTCAAGTCAACCAGGGCAGGGTGAGTAAGGTACGGTTGCCCTGAATATTGCAAGGGGAATTTTGATGCCACTGTAACTTCACATGGTGTGGTTGACTATGGTTGCTTCATTTGCACCGGGCGCAAAAGTCAAGGGAGGGCCCCTTGCTCTGAGGACTCCTGTCCCTCAAAGCCGAAATTTTGCTCAAATTGCTGCGCATGATCTTGCCCCAACCCAACCCCACCCCCACCCCACCCCCACCCCCACCCCACCCCCACCCCAACCCCACCCCCCCCCCGACCAACCCCACCCCAACCCCAACCCCACCCCCACCCCAACCCCAGCCACCCTACCCCCATTCCACCCTACCCCCCTTCAAGCAAGGCGCTCTTGGCCTTGGCCAACTTCCCGGCGGACCGGAAGAACTGGGCGAGGTCGCAGCACGCGCTCAGCGCCGACACGTGGCCCAGCTCCTCCTGACCCTGAGTCGATCCGCCAGAAGTCCGCCGAATGGAGCCCACAGAAGAAGAAAAAAAACATGGCTGTACAAAAAGGTCGGATCCATAAAGGAAGTACTCAAGCTCCCAAATGGCACTACATGTTTTTTTACTGCACCAAATCCGTATTCTTTAACAAAGACCCGGAAAACCACATGAAACAAAAACATGGCTTTACAGTTTTACAAGGACGTCGGATCCATAAAGGGAGTGTTCAACTGCACCAAATCCGTACCCTCCCAGCGAAAACCAACCGGCAAGGCAACCCCAACCCATCCCCCCCCAACCCCCCGCCCCAACGAATGCTTCGCCTGCAGGGCCCGGCGGTAGAAGTCCTCCGCCTCAGAGAGGCGGCCCTGGTCCTGGCAGCGAGGCGGCGGATGAAAAATCTTCCACCCGGCAGGCTGACGTGGCCCGATTTCGGGCTCCATGTGGGGCTCGGGTGGGTGTTTTTTGTTATCGTGTATGTGGGGGTCAAGTGGTTTCCTGTTTTTGTTCACGTGGTTTTCCCGAGGTCCTTATTTCGACTGGTTTGTTGGGGTCAAAGTCGGCAAATGGCTTGTTTTTCCCTTTGACCTACCACAGGGGTGACTTTGATAGTGGCAAAATAATGGGGCCAGTTTTCGGGTTCCATGTTCCATGTGGGGGTGGGGTGTGGTCCCCTTTAAGGGGACCCCAAAAGACGCGCCATTTAACTTGCTGGTGAAAGCAGGGAATGATCCTAGTCCGGGTGGGAAGAATCGTTTCGGCACTCCATTGAAGGACACCAAATCGGGGATGGTTTTCTTCGGGTCGTTCCAACTTATTCCCTGCGAACCAGCAAGTAACAGGGTGAATTTGGGTTGGGTTCCCATTTGCCTGGCTCATCTTTTTAAGGCTCGGTGGATTTAAAGGGCCCCATGGCCGTATTTGATCTTCTTCCGCCTGTCGGTGGCATTGATGTCCTTTGTCCTAAGCTTCCACTTGCTTAAGCCCCTTGGAAAAAACAAGTTGTCATAGATTCCCTTTTAAACCAACAAGGGACAAGAAAAAGTATTCTTAAGCAAATGCAAGTACGGCTTAGTTTGATCTGTCCTTGGCCTTTGGGAGAAGTATGGGTCCTTTCCGATACCTGGCCGGTGCCAAGGTATCAGACTTTCCGGAACAAGCGGCTCAGCTCGTGTGTGATCCCTCGGTGCAGGAGGTTCAGACTCACTTTTTGACTGGTTTCGCCCAAAGTCTGAACTTTGTGTTTGCCAGTAAAATGGTCATCCCAATTGTTTAAAGTTCAGGAACATAGAAGAGTCAAAGTCCTCTAGGATGGGGTGGTGAGGTAGTGGCAAGCCAAGTAGTTGTCTGAGTCGCACTAGAGTAGTAAACTTTTCGTAGTTCTTCGGCCCCGGAGTTTATCCAACTATCAAACCCTTATCAGTTGAAAGCAAAAAAGCAACAATTGAAACCCAATCGCGGCTTTGTGAATCCAGGACTACCATTGGTTTTGGTGAAGGCCCAACATGTTCCCGAACCCGGGGGGGGGGGGGGCCCCTTCCTGGGCCCCCCTGTCCACCCTTGGGTTTTGGTGTTGCTCTTTGCAGGCTTGGAGCAGCCCTGCTCCCCTAAGCTTGGCTGGGAAAGATCGAGCCATAGAGAAATACTACAAGGGCCTAAATGATTGGAATGGGGTTGTGGAGTACAATCAAAACCAAACTTAATCATGGTCATAGGAGAATTGTGTGTGTGTGTGTGTGAGAGTGTGTGTGTGTATGTGCTAGTATATAGGCCTTATGTTACAACCCTCCTACGAGACACGCTTGCACAGACCCTTTCCGAGAGGGAACTCCCCAAATGAACTCGGAACCAACACGGGGGTCCCTTCCTCTCAAACAAGGGCGCATTGTTTTTGCAGGAGTGTGTGGCCCTTTGTTGCTTGGACATTCATCACTTGAGGTTCTAACATGGCTATTAAGGTTTGCATAGGCTTTACATATCTGGTGATTGGAAACCTCCATGTTGCTCGTTTGCTCGTCCCTTCAACACAGCCAGTCATTACAACGCGAACCGAACCACCCAGTTGTGTATGTAAGCTAACCAAACGGCACCACACAAGCAAGCGATAACTCTTTTATCCAAGCAATGTGTTGGTGCCAGGGACTCATCTTCCCCTGTCAGATGTCTACGGCTGGGTGGGCCCCGTGGGCCACCCACCACAAACTCTCAAAAACTGAAGAACGGGTGTGCAGACTGATAGCGCCCGCCCCTGGGCCGGGCCAGGGGCACCCAGGTCACAGGGGGGTCTGCCACCAGGGGAAGTGAGTCACCCACCGGCTCCGGTCACGGGAGCATGGGTGGGCCCACGCTAAGATCAAATGCATCTCCATTCAGGAGACGCGGGAGAAAAATGAACTCCTCGCAGAGTTCCTGTTTAGGAACTCTGTGCAAAGGGTCGAACCCCGAGAAATCTGGGTGCGTCAGCTCATCGGCCCACTGGTTGAATTCCCGGGGCACGTGGTTGGCCGCCAGCGAGCAGCCATGGGTGTGGAGCAGGAAGACCAGCTCCATCAGGATAGCCGCGGTGTAGGGCTTCTTGGATCCAAGGTTGAGCATCGCCATGACGTTGCCCTGATTGTCACTGCCCACCGGGAGTCGGACCCGGGAGGACAGAGGGCCTTGGTGCGTGAGGATCATGTTACAGAGGAAGAGCGTGCCCAGCATTTCCAGAGCCGCAATCCTCCGCTTGGGATCCCCATTCTTGAATGCCCACGGGTACTCCTCCACGTGGATCTGCTCGTGGAACCAGTACACCTCCTTCTTCTCCGGCTCCACTTTGTTGGAGCACCAGCCTCCCACAAATGCCAGTCCTTCATCCGAGGCGCTAGCATCGCTGCAACCCCACCAAGAGGACTTCGGCAAGTAAGGGGAGTACTGGACGAAGGGCGTGTTGAAGAGGAACCGCAGCATGAACGCCAGCATCCTGACCACCTTAGGGGGTTTCCCCACCGTGGTGGTGGCCATTTTCCAGGCCCACAGTGGCTGAAGCATCGACTTCGCCAGCGGACATGCAGCAGTTGCCCATTGGATGCGGCCCAGGGCCTTCTCGATGTCCTTTGAGTGCATCGCCTGCCCTTCCACCATGATCTGCAAGACCTCCATCACCAGGATGTGTTTGTTGGCGGCCATGAGAACCTGCGGGATGTTCGGGTGGACCACGAAGCCCAGCCACGTGTTGACCTCCGCCAAATGTGTCTTCTTCCAGCTAAGCGGGGTGCCCAAGGCCAGGAGTGTTGCCAACAGCGCCACCGCCAAGTTCACTGCCCCCTTGCTGCGAAGCAGCCACAGGAAGTCATCCACAAAGACGAAGTTCCAATCCACTTGAGGGAAAAGTGCGTAGAGGACCCTGAGTAGAAGGGCTGCCAGGCGTCCCCAGTAGGATTGGGCACTGGCCATGCCGTATGTGCCTACCTTGTTCACCCACCAATTCTTCCCCCAGTGAGGCCACCTGGAACCGCCAGTCCTTCCTGAGGACCTTCACTCTCCGGTGGGCCTTGGTGACGTCCGCCTTGAGCAGCACCCACCTGGTGCCCGGCTCCGCCCTCGGGTGGAGGTTTAGCAACCTCCCTCTCGGGGCCGGGGGCACCCTGAGAGGGAGGTCCCTCCTCAGCTGCCGCATGTAGCCAATGAAGAGCTTGTACCCCATCCAGCACCGTCGGAGCCGTCGTCCTTTCCACCGTCTGGTTCCTGATGGTGTCATTGGCCCCGCCCACCGAGCCATCGTAGATGGTGCGGATCTTGTCCCCTTCGTCGATGCCCGCTGGGGGGCCTGGGCAAAGATCCTCCATATTGCAGCCACAGCGCGCTGCTGCCTCTACCTTGGTGAGAGGGCCATCTACCATGCCCATGGGGACCTCCTCCAGGAATGTGCTACAGATGAGCTCACTGAAGTGATCCGCTGAGGGAGGAACTCCGGCTCCTCCCTTCTTGAGTGGCCAGATGCCCGGCGAGACTAGGGGTGGGTCCGTGACCCCCAGTAGGACCCCTTGTTCCAGATCCCGAGGAAACTGGTGGTCGGGGTCCTGAATGTTCATCGCCAGGCTGTGCAAGATGTCCAGGAAGAAGGGTTGGCCTTCCGCTGGTCGGCCTGCCCCTGGCGCCAGGATCTCCCCAGCAGGTCCTCCGGGAAGGCGTGTGACCCGTCCCCCAACGAGAGCGACTCCTGGAGTTTGTCCCCCCATGGCGATGTGAGGACACAGATCTTGGCCCCCAGCGCTGCTGCTTTGGACAATGGCCGAGTCCACGGGGCCAGCCGTCCAAGTGAGGGCTTCCCACCCCCGTCCCTGAGGGGGCGCTGTTTGAAGGCCATCTGGAGGTACATAACCTTGTCGGAGAGATTTGGGTCGTGCGTGATCGGCAGGGTGGTGGGCCGATCCGAGATCTCCATGCAATGGCGTGCCCATGGCTGAAGGGGAAGAGTTTCACCCCGTAGTTCGACCTCCCTGCCCGCCAGCTGTGTTGGTGTCCGGACCTCAGGATTGTCTGAGGCCGAGACCGGACGTGAGCCCAAGGTTAGTTGTTGGCCGGCCTTCAGCCTCAGGGACTGGTCCCCCATCCAGGAAAAGGTGGGGCTTGTCCTGGTCGTCTGGCCCTGGGCTTGCTGCTTGCCCTGACGGTTCTGCCCGCCCTTGGAACGCCCCTTGCTGGGCGGATCCCCACCTCTGGGTCTCTCTGGGGGTTCTTCCCACTGCCTCGGTGGGTGCGGGGGAAAAGGGTGCTTCCGCCCTTCTGGAGTGCCCTGGCTGGATCCACTCCCTTTCTTCGGTGGAGGGGCTTCCGGGGCTGGTGGCATCCCACCTGCGGCCGTCCTGGCCTCCCCAACTCTGTCTGCCTTCCGCTGTGGCTCTGGTGGGATTGGCTCTGCCCCGGTGTGCGCTCTCGCACTGGTGGCCTGTGATCCCTTCGGAGACCAGGCAGCCACGGGGCCCATGGCACCCTGAGTGGCCTCCTGTCACTTGGGGAGGTGTGGGCATGCCTGTGGCACATGCTTCGCTGGGGGGGCATCACACACCCACCCATCCTTCCTGACCGGCAGTTGTGGGATCGACCGCATGATCCAGGGCATTTGTTGTGAAGGTGATGATCCCTGCAGTACGCCACCCCTTTGGGATTCTTGAAAGCCCAGTGGTCTGGCCATGGGGTCGAGGAGGTGTTGGGGGACTTCCCTTTGCCGCCCTTGCCCTTAGGCCCCGAGGACCAAGATCCTTTTCCCCCCTTCTTGGGCTTCTCCCACTGAGTCTGCCACACCTTGGGTGCCTTGCTCTTGCTCTTCCCCTTCGTCGGCGCCCTGTTGAGGTGCTCATAGACCTCCCGTTGCCAGAAGAGGAAGTCGCCC